CAACTTAGAAGTATAAAATTAATATGTAGAAAAGCGAAATGTTTATAATCTACAAGGAGAGATAACCCTCACAGGAAGCAAAATGCTCACAGAAGTTTGCTTGGTGAGTGTGGGATTAGTAAAGGATCAGAGCCCTGGCCCGTTTGGCTCAGCGGTTAGCGCGTCGGCCTGCGGTCCAGAGAGACCTGGGTTCAGTTCCTGCTAAGGGCACGTACCTCGGTTGCAGTTTGTCCCCGGTCCTGGTTGGTCGTGTGGGTGGCAGCCACTCGATGTGTCCCTACAAAAAATGGAAAAATGTCCTCAGGCGAGGATAAAAAAAAAAGAAAAGGATCAGATAAGTAGTTATGTGCTCAGTGGACTCAGGCCAAGGTAAGGACGGCTTGGGGGGGAGGGGACAGCAGGCGGGTGGAAGGTCCACGTCCCCCTCCCACCCGTTCTTGGTGGTTCTTGGTGCGTGGCCTCCTTTCTCTGCATCCACGGCCCAGCTCCCCACTCACAGCTCTCTGCCAGCAGATGCAGCCACCTCGTGGGGACCTCAGTGTCTCCCTGGAGTGCGTTTGTGCACCTCTACGCTGCCCGTATGTGTGGAATTTAATTGTTAACTCTCAGAGGGCGATTCAATGTTACCCACGTCTAAGTTCTCAGGACAAGTTCCGTGGAAGCCCCACACGCTGCTCGAAGGGCTGTCACACAGACAGGATGGTTAAGACCCAAAAGGAGCAGGGTCCTTTCACGGTGAGGATAAAAGGGGACGCAGTTTGTCACTCTAGACCTGACTGACATGACTCAGCAGGACGACTGGAGATGGTGAGGTTGGTGACAGGGATCAACGTGTGGCCTCCTGGAGCAGGTGAAAGCGTCATGCTAGGGACCGGTCCACCCGCGCGTGGACGGGGACTGGCGGGCTGCAGGTCCGCCCTCACTGTGGATGGAGACTGGCCGCCGCAGGCCCACCGCGCGCGTGGACGGGGACTGGAGGGCTGCAGGTCCGCCCTCACTGTGGATGGAGACTGGCCGCCGCAGGCCCACCGCGCGCGTGGACGGGGACTGGAGGGCTGCAGGTCCGCCCTCACTGTGGATGGAGACTGGCCGCCGCAGGTCCGCCCACGCGTGGACGGGGACTGGCTGGCTGCAGGTCCGCCAGCACGCGTGGATCAGGACCGGCCGCCGCAGGCCCGCCCGCGTGCGTGGACGGGGACTGGAGGGCTGCAGGTCCGCCCTCACTGTGGATGGAGACTGGCCGCCACAGGTCCGCCTGTGCACGTGGACGGGGTCTGGAGGGCTGCAGGTCCGCCCTCACTGTGGACGGAGACTGGCCGCCGCAGGTCCGCCTGCGCAGGTGGACGGGGTCGGGTCGCTGCAGGAGGCAGCTCTCGGGTGTCTCCCGAGTCTTGTGACTCCGGCGGGTTTCAGAGGTCTGAGTATTTGCCCTCAGACAAGCTGGGCAGTCTCCTTCCTGTCCCTCATCACGAGTGGCCCCGTCCCCAACTGAGGGCTCAGTCAAAGAGGGGGAGCCCCCCTGGTGGGCTGGGACACCTTCCCGTGGAAGTCGGGCTCTGGGCGCTGTCTTTCTGCAGTTTCAAGGTGAGCCGAGGTGTGCTCCCCGCAAAACCTGGGTGCGGCAGGAGGCAGGGCTGGCTGCCAGGGTCTCACTGGTCTGGCGCTCACCTGGATGAGCGCAGATTTATTCCACCTACTTCTTTCTGGTGCTGACACCTGCTACTGAAGCCTTGAGGCAAATGTGCTCCGTCCACAGTCGGGAGAAGGGAGAAAGTGGAGCCTGCAGGAGAACCTCAGCCAGCGTGTTCCCCCAAACCTCTGAGCAGTCAAGATTTGGACATTAGCCTTGTTTTGACCCTTGAGGCCACAGATGGAACCTACCAAACGCTCAGAGACAGGACTCCCCAGCTGGCCACGCTGTGTTCTTCTAAGCTGCCGGGGAAGATTTCCACAGGTCGGTGAACACACGTTCCTGAAAGGAAGCGAGTGATCTTCAGTTTGGGGCTCGGTCGGCAGCGGCCATCGAAGTGACCTGTTCGTCTTCCAGTGTGTGAGTCCAGAGCTTCCTCTCCGGCCATCTGATCCGGCCTGATCCTGGGAGTGAAGCTGAGAGGCTGACATCGGACACAGCAGGGCTGGCGACAGCGTCTCAGGGTGCTGGCATCTTTGTCAGGCTACAGAGGTTGACAAGGGCGTGCGCCCTGGATGTGGAAGTTAGGTGAAAGCGATTGTTTCTGAGGGTGAGCGCAGGTCTACGTTCCCGCCCCCCCCCCCCCAGCTTTTTTTGTTATGAAATCTAGTCTGGGAATTCTGGGTCATGATCAGTATATTTTCGATGAATCAAAATGACACAAAAATGGAATATGTAAAGAACTCTTTTTACTACTTTATTCTCAAAGCAGTTCTATAGTTTTCACTAGATTGCTTTAAAAACACTTGTTTTCCCTTGATTGATTTTAGAGAGAGAGGAAGTGAGAGGGAGAGAGAGATAGGAACATTGACGGGCCGCCTCCTGCACGCCCCCCACTGGGGATGGGCCCACAACCTGGGCATGTGCTCTGACCGGGAATCGAACCGTCGACCTCTTGGTGCAGGGTCGACGCTCAGCCACTGAGCCACACCAGCTGGACCAATAGATTGCTTTTTTTTTTTTTTTATCCTCACCCGAGGACATTTTTCCATTTTTTGTTCAGGTAGAGTGGGAGGGAGAGAGAGGAACAGACAGAGAGAGAGAAACATCGACGTGAAAGGGACACATCGAGTGGCTGCCACCCGCACGACCAACCAGGGCCGGGGACAAACTGCAACCGAGGTACGCGCCCTTAGTGGGAACCGAACCCGGGTCTCTCCGGACCGCAGGCCGATGCTCTAACTGCTGAGCCAAACCAGCCAGGGCTTTTTAATCGAGTGCTTCCATTTGTCTAAATATTCGTGGGTCACTAGTGCTGGTTAATGGTTTCTAAAACCCACAGAAACTGACGGACAAACGAACAAACAAAAGCGCTGGAGCGACAGTCACGGCACCAGCTGCAAATGAATGCTATTCATCCTCTGAAACCCCCACCGCACCGCCAGGCTGAGCCAGGCCCTTGGGTTCCGACTGCCGAGGGAGGCCCCCACCCGAGTCAGAACACTGCGCCCAGCACCGGCACCCAGGATCACGGACCGGACACGCCGCAAGCGCACCCGCTGACTCACACGTGGGTCCCGGTCAGCTCGCCCTGAGGACCGTGTGAAAGCAACCCCGCAGTGTTTCCTCCGCGTGATGGGATCGGTGGCTTACAGGTCTGCCCCCGGATCAGAACCCACCGAACGGCGCTTAAGGAATGCGGCTTGCCAGGCCCCGTCCAGCCTGTTCGGTTCAAATCTCAGGGCAGAGTCAGGGTGATCTGTCCTGCAGACAACTTTCCCAGGTGACCCTAATGCACTTGGTAGGGACGTGTCTCAATGTCTTCACCAAATTATTATTCAAAAAAATGTGGGGGGTGCCCTGGCCGGTTTGGCTCAGCGGTTAGAGCGTCGGCCTGCGGTCCAGAGAGGCCCCGGTTTGGTTCCCGCTAAGGGCATGTATCTTGGTTGCAGTTTGTCTCCGGCCCTGGTTGGGTTGTGCAGGTGGCAACCACTCGATGTGTCCCTTTCACGTCAATGTTTCTCTCTCTCTCTCTCTTCTTCTCTCTCCCTCCCACTCTACCTGAACAGAAAATAGAGGAATGTCCTTGGGTGAGGATAAAAAAAAAATGTGGGGGGGCCTGGACAGGTAGCTCTGTTGGTCAGAGCATTGTCCTGATACACCAAGGTTGTGGGTCCAATCCCTGGTCAGGGAACATACAAGAAGCAACCAGTGAATGCATGAATAAGGGGACAACAAATCAATATTTCTCTAAAAATCAATAATTTTTAAAAATTAAAATTAAATTGATTAAATTGATTAATTAAAAAGCGTTTAACCTTTTGACCCCCTTCACCTACTTCTCCCACCCTCCACCCCCTGCCTCTGCCAACCACCAGTCTGTTCTCTGTATCTGTAAACTTAACTTTTTTTTTTAAGATTCCACATATAAGAGAGATGATGTGATATTTATCTTTGTCTGTCTGACTTATCTTACTTAGCGTAATGCCCTCGAAGTCCATTCATGTTGTTGCAAATGACAAGATTTCATTCTTTCTTAGGCTTGTGTAATAATCCATTGCGCACGCCCACGTGTGTATGTGTGTGTATCGCAACTTCTTTATCCATTGATCCATCAGCGGACACAGAAGTTGCTTCTGTATCTTGCTGTTGTAAATAACACCACAACGCACACAGGGTGCATTACCTTTTCAAGTCAGTGTTCTCATTTTCTTGAGGTAAATGCCCAGAAGGGGAATTGCTGGATGGATCATATAGTATTTCTATTTTTTTTTTTATCCTCACCCGAGGATATTTTTCTATTTTTTGTACAGATAGAGTGGGAGGGAGAGAGAGGAAGAGAGAGAGAGAAACATCGACGTGAAGGGACACATCGAGTGGCTGCCACCCGCACGACCAACCACAGCCGGGGACAAACTGCAACCGAAGTATGTGCCCTTAGCGGGAACCGAACCCGGGTCTCTCAGGACCGCAGGCCGACGCTCTAACTGCTGAGCCAAGCCGGCCAGGGCTAGTATTTCAATTTTTGATTTTTTGAGGAAACACTATTTTTTTAAATTTCATATTTTGTTTTATCTTTGTACATTGTTTTAAATCCTGTTTGGAACAAAGTCCGATCGAGTAAGTAATGAGTACTATCCTAAATACTTGCATGAACTTTGATAATTCTCTCTTTGCTTGCATCGGGGTATTGGGGTTTACTGTTTCTTATTCTGGAAGCACAGCGGGGGTGACCCAGCAGGAAGCAGTGTGACCCTGCTTGAAGGTGGCGCCACCGCGGTTGGTTCAGGCACCTGTTGCCCTTTCGGGGCGTGTGGGTGAGGGGGTCTCATTTGCTGTCCGCATTTCCGTAAAAGACAGACAGAGAGTCTTCTAAGTTTTATTCAGAATGGAGTCAGCATAGTGGACATACATCCGCGAGACTTACGACCGAGAACTTGATTCCATGACAAAATCAGTCGTGAGGGGCCGGAGGGCACCCTGACTGTGCCCACTTGAACTACCTCCAAGGACATCTGAACAGAGCTGGCCTGTAGAACATATTACGCAGAAAACAAAAACCCCCCAAAGCAAGCAGAACCAAGAGCATCAGTTGAGCCTTATTTTGCAGGTGGGGGAAGCTTGCTTTTGATCCAAGCCTGGACTTCCTGGGTTAAGAGGGTGTAGATTCCAGGCTTCTTGGCAACACCACATTTACGGCCTCCAGAGACCAGGCCATAGAAGGCACCTTTGCAGACCAGGGGGCCGCCTGAATCACCCTGGAAAGAGGGAAGGGGACAGACACTCGGTAAGAAGCTCTCGGACTTTCCCCACCACCAAGTGTCGATGCCTCAGTGGGTGATTATCTGGGTCCTGAGGACAGCCCCTGACTCAGTGTAGGGTGTGATGTCTCTGTCCCTCTCCAGGACCACGGTTCTGTCTGTCTGTCCATGTCCCTATCTGCTGGGACTATGTGTATATGAACTTTGGTGACCAGTGGCTAGTGAACTCGACTCATCAAGGAATGGGCAGACACAAAGTTTGAAGTCACTCACTGACATGAAAGGAATTTCTTAAACTGTGGTTTTCACTCTGGTGTCGTGGGTCTGAAATCCGGCGGTGCTCTGGTTGGCGGTGAAAATGTGGGCGAGGGCTCCCGTGTGCCACAGGACTTTTTAAAACATGCGGGACTTGACTATTCAGCCGGGAGCACTGACCTTTCTCCTTGTCAGTGGTTCTCAGCCTTCCTGATGCCGACCCTGTAATACATTCCTCATGTGTGTGTGGCGCATCTGCATGTGGGCGGACCGTCTGGAGACGGACAGAGGGGCGGGGTCTCGGTTCCTGTGACCATCGGAAATATGTGTTTTCTGATGGTCTTAGGCGACCCCTGTGAAAAGGTCGTTCGACCCCCAAAGGGGTTGCAACCCACAGGTTGAGAACCGCTGCTTTAGATCATCAAAAAAATGACAACACCCAACACAATAGCCATCCAGTGTGAATGAAAATTATACTTGTATAATCAAAATTATACTTGTATTTTTTGTCAGATTGGCAAAAATGTATTTCTGGTATGCTGCAGAGTTTTAGTACTTAAGGTATGTGTGTTATGTGTGCATGAGAAGAAATAGGTTGAAAACTGCTGGGTTAAGTGGATGACGGTCTCAGGGCGTTGCCCACACACACGGGCTTGAAAATCATCATACCCTCCGCCCCGTGGTCACACCTCTAGTGTGGCGTGGAGACTGTGCTACCTACTGGTCACCTGTAACCATGAACACCTATTTTTTCTTTTTTTTTACTACCTCAGGAAACAAGATTTTGAGAAGTATGACCGTGTTCCTTTTGGTTAGTCAACTTGATTTAAGAAATACATACTATAGACCTCTTTATTAATTCATTTAAAAGGTGGCTTTTTTTTTTTTTAAGAAGTTATCTTCAAATCACCACCAGAGTGTAGGTAGACCTCAGAGTAGGTGGGCTATCGGGGGCGAACACCCCTCTGAGGAAGCCCATAAGGGCCATCAGGTCTGGTCTGTTAGCCTGATGAACAAACACTTAGTGAGCACACGTTGTGTGTGGGGGTGTCTTTCTGATTCGTTCGCACTGGAAGATGAGAGAAGAGGGAGCACTGTGCAGGACGGGGTGCTCGTGCGCCCGCGAAGCTTGGCCTGTGCACCGGCGCTGGGCTGCGCTGCCGGGACACCAGGCTCTTACCTGGCAGGAGTCCTTCTGACCCTTGGCATCTCCTGCACAGACCAGGCCTTTGGTTATGACAGGGCGGTGGTTGTAATAACTTGGGCTGTTGCACAGTTTCCGGCTTATGACAGTCACAGTGACTTCTCGCAGGGTGTCAGAGATGCCTAAACGTTTTGGGTCGGTGGCGCCCCAGCCCGTCACCTGGCATTTTGTTCCGGCTCGAATGTCATTTCTGGCGCTTGGTTGGAGCAGCTGGACGTGCTTGTTGAGTTTTGCAGCCACGCGAAGCTGACAGATGGAAAAGAGAATAGATGACCGTCCATCCCCAGTACTGTTCCGCTATCCGCCTGAGCGGTCTATGGGTGGTCCCCGTTCCGGGGCGCCCCTCTTCTCGGATCTACGCTGGTGGCAGCCTGCAGCTGCTTTGGGAGCACCGCTCCAGTCCCGCGCGCTCAGGGAGGCTTGGGAGGGGGGCTTCCGCGGAGCGGGAATCTTGCCCAGTCTCAAGTGAACTGGACTTTGCTCTGGGCTGGATGGTTCTCTGCGGAATAGCAGCCACGGGTCGTGACTTGGAGGGCCGGGCTGCTTCTGCTGGATAGGACCCTTGAGTATGGTCTAGACCAGGTTTGGCCTGCACGAGGCATGGTCTAGACGCCACTGTAACTCTGCCCCCGAAGTCACTTGGTTGGCTCTGTTGCACAAACAATTTGTATTTTTCATTCGCTAATGGTAAAGGCATTTGGGAAGGAAGCTTTCAGGGGGGACCCCGGGCCTGGTGGGCTGCCCCCTCCCACATGTATGTGCACCAGAGTCGCTTTTTCCGTCCCAGACGCCCTTGTACGTTTATGATGGATTCCGTTGCTCCCAAGCAGTCCGTGGGGACATGGGCTCACAGAGCACACAGTCCCCTCGGACAGGAAGAGAGCTGACGCAGGCTAGGGAGGTCGATCACCCGGGTCGTGTTGGGAAGAACGTGGGACAAACTGAAGGGAGACGATGCCACGTACCTTAACCAGCATAACGTCATGCGAGTCGGGGTCTGATGCGTATCTTGAGTGCGGGATGAACTTGATAATCTCAAATGTTTGCTTGGAGGCCTCGTCCTTTGAGAGAGAGTGTGCTCCTAAAACCACTTTGGAAGACTGGCTTTTGGCAAAGCTGAAAGGAAAGCAACAGACTGATTCCCAAATCCCCCCGTGGGGAGCAGAAACGGTGGGGGTCATACACATCCAGGGACAAGGACTGTCCCCAAGGTCACCTGGTAGATTAGGGGTGTGACAGGACTTGGTGGACCCAAGCAGGAGGTGGCCTGCCCCAGCCCCCCACTCCAGTTCCCCAGCACCACAGAAGCCTGCAGAACTGGTCCCCACTGCGGGGAAAGAAGGGGGATCCCGACCGACTAATATCAGGTTCACAACAAAGTTGTTCATTTATGTAAAATCAAAAAACATCTATTTCTCGAGTGTGTGGGTTGAAGTTGACATCTACCACTGTTAAGTGTTTTTTATTAGTTGAGGCAAAGTATACATGACAATCCACGATTTTAACCGCTTGAATGTACAGCGTGTGGCATTTGCTGTGTAGTGTCTCGGTCACCACCGCCGCTCCAGGGGTTTGCATCTCCCAGTGGGGGGCGCTCAAGGTGCAGGCTCGGCCCCACGCTCCCTGGCCTGCTCCACTGGGGTGTCCTCTCCGCAGGAAGGCCCGTTACGGGGCTGTCAGATGTGCCCCCGTGTCCTGCCCCCTCGGAAAGGAAAAGTGTCCCAAGGTGAAAGATCACGCTCATTTGAAGTGAGGATCCTTTAGGGTTAGTAGCCACTGAGCCTCCGTGGAGGTCGGAGGACGCACACTGGCGAGTCCGATGAGAAGCACCAGGTTTCTGCTGTTGTCTGTTCTGTTTTGTACCCCTGCTCAGAGAGTTCTAGCCCCAGTGCCGCTGTGGATCTGATTTACGGGATGTTGAAAGAAATGACCCTCACACGTAGCTTGGAAAATAGCAACAATGGCCCTGGCGGGTTTGGCTCAGCGGTTAGAGCGCTGGCCCGCGGACCAGAGAGTCCCGGGTTCGGTAACCGTAAAGGGCACATATCTCGACTGTAGTTTGTCCCCAGCCCTGGTTGGGGTCCTGTGGGTGGTGACCACTCGATGTGTCTCTCTGACATCAGTGTTTCTCTCTCTCTCTTCCTCCTTCTCTCCCTCCAGCTCTATCTGAAGATAAATGCAAAAAATGTCCTCAGGTGAGGATTAAATAAATAAATAAAAATGTTTAAAAGAAAATAGCAACAATGTTTCGGAGAACATGACAGTGCCTCGCAGCCTGGGCTCGGCACACACCCCCGTTCCCATGTGCGACTTGCAGAAGCCTCTTCGAGCCCTTCTCTGGAACAGGAGAGGTTATACAAAGAATTATATTTCATTGTCACTCGAAAAAGGGACCAAGGCGGACTACAAGCAAAAGCCACAGCCAGACGTGCGGATTAGTGAAGATGCACGCAGACGAGAAGAAGGACCGCAGCACAGAAAAGGGAAGGGAAGCCCCCCCGGCGGGGCGCACTGGACCCGACCCGGTGGGCGCGCCGGCGGGGGCGGCCAGCCGGACAGGGCACCGCTTTTTGGTTTCGACCAAAAGATCTTCTTTTGGGAATTCCAGCTCTATTTGTTGAAAAGTTTGCCTGTTGCAAAATCATCATGGGGCTGAAATTTCTCAAAGGATGTGGATCGGATGTCCTCGGATGGACTCAAACTCCAGTTGCACACAGTCCCGAAGCCCAGAGCTGCGGAGGGAGAGGCTAAGGGACACCCGAGCGCCGAGTTCTAAGGGAAGGAGCTCCGCAGGGACGGCCGCCAGGCTGTGCCAGGTGCTTCTCGCCGGGCAGGTGCCGAGCGCTCCGGCCCTGGGCCTTTTACCAAGTTCCCGACTGCTCAGGCCCTGAGCTGGTCTGGTCACTGTCGTCTCCACTGGGACGCGCTCACACTGAAAGCGACCCGAGCAGACTGTCTCTGAGCTCCATCTCTGGCTCCAGTTCAAGGGCAACCCGCACTCAGGGTCTGTGTGTCTGCTCACACGACGCCTGCAGTCCCCTCGGCTCTGGGGTCCCACCTCGTCACCGGAACCCAGGTCTGAACTCACACCGAGGAGTAGTAGCGCGGGGTCGCTCATGGCACAGCTGCACCACACAGGGTTGCCCGTGGCTGGTCTGGACCCTGCTCAGGGCCACCTGGAGGTGTCTGTGTGAGATGCAGTCTAGCCCCCGCCTCCCCAGAGCAGAACTGGTCGCAGGGCCCAGCCGGAGGTGTCTGCGTGAGATGCAGTCTAGCCCCCGCCTCCCCAGAGCAGAACTGGTCGCAGGGCCCAGCCGGAGGTGTCTGTGTGAGAGGCAGTCTAGCCCCGGCCTCCCCAGAGCAGAACTGGTCGCAGGGCCCAGCCGGAGGTGTCTGTGTGAGAGGCAGTCTAGCCCCGGCCTCCCCAGAGCAGAACTGGTCGCAGGGCCCAGCCGGAGGTGTCTGTGTGAGATGCAGTCTAGCCCCGGCCTCCCCAGAGCAGAACTGGTCGCAGGGCCGAGCCGGGGCTGCTTCCCGTCCTCTTGCCATCGGCTGAGGGTCCGCTGACACCGTCTGTGCTGAGCCCGCAGTAACCCCGCTCGGAGGTCAAGCCACGGGCTGTGTCCCTTCCTCGTGAAAGGGTCCTCTGGCCCCCCGTGACACACATCTAAGTGGGGGAGGCGGGACCCAGACCCAGTTCTGGGACTCGGTCCAGGGACACATCCGGAAGCCTGTGCCCAGCCCTCTGCCGCCTGTCTCGCTGCCAGTCTGCTGGGGCTGCTGGGGCTCCTGCCTGGGCCTGCCCCTCCGGGTCTGCGGGAGGGCAGGTCCCTATTCCTCGTCTCCTTTGTGGACCGGAGGAGGAATGACAACTTCCAGAGAGGGGCCCTCACAGTCCTACCCCCCCCCCCCCGATTCCATCATCAGATTCGTTTCCCGGGATCTTTGTGGCAGGTGCAGGTGAGAACAGAACATGAGACCATGTCAACCGAGCTACTTACTGGGGTGAGCCAGGGTCTGTGCTGAGCGTCTGTCCTTTGCCCTCACAGCAGCCCTGGGAGGGAGGGAGGGAGTCGGACTGTCCCCCGGCAGACGAGGACGTTGAAGCTCAGGGCAATGAACAAGCCTGAGAAAGTGCCCGAGACTAAGAGCCCAGTGGGATGCAGGTCAGGCGCCTGGAGTTGGGCCTGGGTTCCTGGCGGCGTGCGGGGGGCCTGAGCAGGGACAGGATGGCGAGGTCACCGGGAGGGGCGGGGTCCGGGCTGGTCACTGCGGGTGAGGAGGTGCTCGGTGCGGGAAGGCGGTGGGGGAGCCGGGAGGGTGGTGGACAAGAGGCAGAGTTTTCTTCTGATAAGGTAAAAAGCAGAAAATAAGATGCTATAGGAAAACTTTTTAAAAAAAATCCTCACTGGAGGATATTTTTCCATTTATCTTAAGATTGGGAGGGAGGGAGGGAAGGAGAGAGAAAGAGAGAGAAACGCCGACAGGAGACAGACATATCGAGTGGCTGCCTCCCGCACGACCCAACCAGGACTGGGGACGAACCACAACCGAGGTCCGTGCCCTTGACCGGAATCGAACCCGGTCCATGGGCTGATGCTCTAACCCCGGAGCCAAACTGGCCAGGGTAAGAAATCTCTTTTTTTTTAAAAAAAAAATCAGTTTTCTTTTATAATTAGCATGGCAACTAATAAAGGAGCCACGAGACTAAGTGGTCACTTCTTGGCCTTTGGCTGAGATCAGGTGAACAGGCCACCATGGGGGTAGAGTGAGCAGAGCACGCAGGTCCGCCTCCTGCACCGTTTGAGAGGAGGCCAGGGGTCAGCAAGCTTTCCCCCCGGACACTCGGGGTGCACTTGTGGGAAGCCACCACTGAGCTGTTTTGTAAATGTTTGGGATTGCACAAAGCTCAATATTTTTCCAAGCACCAGCCCACCTAGTGTTTCACACCCAAGTGTCCGACCGAGGACCTCTGACCCGCACCGTCTGGAGCCCTTCACACTCCAGCCATTTAAAAGGATATTTAGCAATTTTGTAAACTCCCAAACCTCTTTTCCCTAATGTGGCAAGTCAGCATCTACCCCTACTGAGTCCAGTTCACTTGACAACATTTAAAACCCAACCTAATAATACATTCGCCTTCGGGGAGCACTTTGTGGCTTGTGAAGGGCTTCACATGCTGTGTGTGTAGCTTAGAAAAAAATTATTTTACATCCTCCAATTTATTCCTTTCTTCTCCTGGACATTTATAGGGAGGGAAGCTCCGTGTCTGTGTGGACCAGAGTGTATTTGAGGGTGCGCATATTCTGAGCCGAAGGGACAGTTACTGCTAGTCACCTTCTGCCTACTGGTCCCCAGGGGACAAGGGTCCTGAATGGCAGAAGTGATGGGGACACGGGGTGATTGCTAGGACCGCAAGAGCCTCATTTAGATGGAGCAGCCACATTGCACTGGGAGTTAGTAGCTGGCTCTGGAGAAACAGAACAGTTCTCACTGTGTCCAGGCATCAAGATTTCTAATTTGTGTTCGAACAATCTCATCAGTGGGACAATCAGACAAAACCCCCAGAACACATGGATTCACGTGTTCCTTTCGATGTAGCTGACGCCTAGAGAGCAAAGCGACGTCACCCAGGGACCCTTCAGTGAGCGCCGATCTCGCCAGGGGAGGAGGCCTCTCTCTTCCTAGCTTTTTTTTTATCCTCACCGGAGGATATTTTTTGCATTTATCTTCAGATAGAGCAGGAGGGAGAGAGGGAGAAAGAGAGAGAAACATTGATGTGAGAGAGACACATCGACTGGTTGCCACCCGCACAACCCCAACCGGGGCCAGGGACAAACTGCAACCAAGGTACATGCCCTTAGTGGGAACCGAACCTGGGACTCCCCAGTCCACAGGCCGATACTCTAACCGCTGAGCCAAACTGGCCAGGGCTCTTCCTAGCTTATTTAGGCAGGAAACGTAAGGAAGAAAACATACAAACAAAGAAAACACCACCAAAGGTGCTTTCCTCTGCTTCTCCGTTGGCGGTGGTTGCGGAAGCCCTAGAGGGCTTTGGACTGTGCTGGCCGGAACGGGGGGTCATAGTCTGGAGCGGAGTTTGAGAGGTGAGAGTCTGTCCTCAGGAAGGCTTCGATTCCAAGTGCCCAGTAAAGAACTGTCTCCCCCTCCCCGTGTGTAGCCCTCTGCAGCCTTCTTTCTCCTGGGAAGGATGGTGCCCCTCACAGCTCTGAGTTCCAGACTGTGGGCCTCACCTCGGGGTGGGGGTGGGGGGGCATGGGAATGAGTGTCTGGGATCTAATAATCCACCAGCAAAGGAGGCTCTTCTCACTACTACTATTAACTGCCATATCATCATCATCATCGTTATTATTATTATTTAAATTTAACTTTAAAAAAAATGTCTTTACTGACTTTTCAGAGAGAGAGGATGGAGAGGGGGAGAGAGAGCAACATTGATGTGAGAGAGAAGCATCAATCTGCTGCCTCTGGCGAGCTCCCCACCAGGGACTGAGCCATAACCAGGTGTGCGTCCTGACCGGGAATCGAACCGGTGACCTCCTGGTGCATGGGATGATGCTTAGTCCACCGAGCCACTCTGGCCGGGCATAACTGCCACTTATTTGTACTTAATATGTGCTAAGCGTACTCATAAATTTATATAGATACTATTTGATCCTCAAAGCCCCACAAAGCAGGTGCTTCTGTGGTGACTCCCCGTTTGCAAAGCGGGTAGTGGAAACTTGCAAACAAACTTGGGTGTCTGGTTCACTCAGGGTGTCGGACCTGGTCAGGTCAGGACACTGCTGATCCCACTATTCCTGTGGCTGCGTTCCCTGGTATCACACGCAAGCCTGGAGGTGTCTAACGGCTGGTGGCGAAGGTCGACCAGCTCTCCCGGGAAAGGAAACCCCAGGGCGGAAAACGTGGGTGTGTGTGAGGGGGGCAGACTCCCTGGGTCAGTGCCCCGGAAGCCGGCGGCAGATAAGACGTCCCCGGAGAGGCGCGCTCTGTCCCCGCAGACCTGAGGGGAGCCGTGGAGCCACGGGCGGGGACTCACCGGTGGTGGCAGTGGGCCGCGGTCAGCACCCACTGAGGGTGGATCAGGACCCCTCCGCAGATGTGACTGCCGCGGTACTGGAGCGAAGCCATGAAGGGCCTGGAGTGAGGTGGCACCTCTTTCCCTCCAACAATCTCCACGCCGAAACCTGCAGAACCAAACCCGAAAGACGGACACAGAAGATCTAAGCAGATAACTTCATGGATTCTTCTCACGGGTACGCCATCGCTTCCAAAGATTCCCCCCGTCACCTGGCAGTTACAACTGTATTTATGGACAATCGTCTGTCATTGTATACGAACCGTTGTAATAACACGTTACAGTTTAGAAGCACAGAGGCGGTTACAAAAATCATCGTCACTTACAATGTAACAATGCAATCACCAGAAAGTCATTTAATGCTCACGTGTGGTAGGCACAGGACATACTTACAGGTCGGAGTCAGATGAGCCCCAGCTATAAGGAAAAGCAGAGAAAACGTAGCCATTGCAATGGCCCCGAGGTCAGAAGCCAGATGAAACCCTCCAGCAGTGCTGGTGAGGGAAGAGTCTGCAGATGAAGTCCTGGTCTTGAGAGTTTTAACTTGCTCACCACAAATGTTCTAGGGGGAAGAGTTTTCACACCTAAGTTGGAGGGTGTATCAGTTTGGGGCGTTTTAGATCTATGCATTTAGCACTTTTTGGGGAGTTACATGTGCAATAAAGAATTCATTTCTGGACTGAACCACTTTCAATATCTCTGTGAGTACTCATGTTATAAATGGTGAAAGGATTAAAATATCCAAGCCATGAGAACTTAATAAAGTTGCGGACAGAGTTTTTTGCCCAAAGCAATACCTACTAGTTTTCCCAGCAGAAAATGCTGCCCATCATAGTTTCTCTCACGTTCTCATCTGGACATAGATTTATTATGTAGAGAGACATGGAGCCTTGTACAAGTCATGGTTGTGTTACAATAAGGCTTCGCTAAAGCTTAAACATCTGCCAGAGAAACCCATATGCTTCGTAGCAAACTTATTCCTAGTCCTGCCATCTTCTCTAAATTTGACCAAATGTGGTTAAATTTTGGTTACATTTTTGGAAGATTTCTTAATTACTAAAGGGGGACATTGGCAAAATAAAAAAAATTTTTTTGTATCCTCACCTGAGGACATTTTTCCATTTTTTGTTCAGATAGAGTGGGAGGGAGAGAGAGAGAGAAAGAGAGAAACATCAACGTGAAAGGGACACATCGAGTGGCTGCCACCTGCATGACCAACCAGGGCCGGAGACAAACTGCAACCAAGGTACATGCCCTTAGCGGGAACTGAACCCAGGTCTCTCCAGACCACAGGCCAATGCTCCAACTGCTGAGCCAAACTGGCCAGGGCAGCAAAATATTTTTAATTCTGAGTATCTCTTTTATTCATTTTTAATGGAAAATGACCAGGTGTTTTTCCAGGGCCTTGATAATATCTTTTAAAACTCAAGGGCTGTGTTCCGTTCTCTCGTCCTCCCCAGGAACAGGTGGCCACGCACTGCCAGGCTCCCTCCAGTACTTTCTCCCTGCAACAAAGCACCTCGGACCTCCGATCCTCTGCGACCGGTTTTCCCTTGGTGCTGGGCAGCGGTGCCAATGTTGTGAGTACAGACAGACAAATCAGGTGCCCAAACCTTCTTACTTTTCAGAAACACTGACCAAATCACCTCGAATGAACAAGTCTTACTTTCTTTCTCCTAACATATCAGCATCGTATCTTCTGTTATTTTTTTGTGAAGGGGAATTGAAATCCAGGGCCATTGTACCTGCCAGATTGCAAGAGATTCCTGCTCGACTATTGTTCTCTGGCATGACAGTAGGGGTGAGCAGTATTATAGTTGTAAATTATACATTATAATTTAATAATATAAGTGCCGTAAGTATTTCCAAAATTCTTCTTACACACTCATGTATATGTTTTCATGTTTGACATCTGTGAGGAATAACTATTGCATTTATGTTACATGTGAAGAAATAGGCTCAGGGAGGCTACGCAATTTGCCGAATGCTGCACAGCATCCAGCCTGGCCCGAATCCTTTGCCTGACCTGAAATAACTTGTGTGCTAATAAACACACTACCAGAGCACTGGATTGGAAAAATATGCTGTTTCACATGGCAACAGTCAAGGGCTCCTGCATATTCACTGAGCAGAATGAACAAAACTTCCTGTCACAGAGACCTGTGGGTGCGACTAGGAGGAACTGATGAAGAAAAGCCACAAACTTAATAAACCAAACTTGTTAGTCACAGCCAAATGTCCCTGTGAATGTTCGAGTCACCTCTGCCACTGTTGGTGCACCATTGCTCCCAGCAGGGACGGGGACAGGAGGCTGCAGTTCCTTCGTATCCCGGTGACGCCCGGCGACCGAGGAACACCACCCGTGTCGCCTGCGGTGACCTGAACTCCGAGGAAGAGATGGATGGGGGTGGGGGCGTGCAGGCATGGTCAAAACCTCTTTCAGCTGCTTAATTTTGAGTAGTAAGGACTGACACCACGTGGCTCTCTTCAAACTGCTAAGCATCTTCCACGGTAGTTCCAGGGAGGTGGCTGTCATTAGTCTCGCTTTGTGGGAAGGCTGGAGACCACTGAGCTGGCAGGCGGCCGTCGGGTTTTAAGCCCTCGCTGCTGGCTCCAGGCTCCCGTTGCTGCCCCCCCCCCCCCCGCCTCGCTTCGAGCGGTCCCTGGGCTTAGACGCTCCCAGAGGCCAGCGGGCTGTGCCCAGGGAAAGGATTTAGCGGTACCCCTGCAATCCGACGGGGTGGGGGTTAGTTCACTCGGAAGGACAGTCTCCTAGCTCTTCCTCGTGGCTGACCTGGAAAATTCTGAGAATCACGTTGGTTTAGAGCACCGAGTTCTTTGGTTTGGGCTTGAGGCGGATGTACGGGTTAAGAGCATCATTTGTTATCGTACCGAGGATCCTGGGTAGAGAGCAGTGAGCTGAGTAATGTGATGAGCTGGGCAGTCTCCATTTCTGTTGCGTCTGCCGCAGAGAGAGCAGAGAGAGCCGTGTTGGCTGTGGGTGGCTTCGCAGCAGGCTACCGGGCTGGGCTGAGCAAGCGAGGGGCAGGGGCTGGGGCTGGGGCTGGGCTGGGGCAGGGGCAGGGGCAGGGGCTGGGCTGGGGCAGGGGCAGGGGCAGGGGCTGGGCTGGGGCAGGGGCTGGGGCTGGGGCAGGGGCAGGGGCTGGGCTGGGGCAGGGGCTGGGGCTGGGGCTGGGCTGGGGCTGGGGCTGGGGCAGGGGCGCGGCTGGCTTCATGTGCCTGCGACCTGCGGCCCTTTGCTGGGTTGTGGTCAGCTGGCCTTACTCGCTGCTCTTAGAGACGTTGTCCTGGGTTGTATTTCCCTCCACCCCTCCTCTCTCTCCACCCTCCCATGTTTCAGGAGATCCTTAGAGAACAGCTGTCTGGAAGCTCCAAAGGCCATGTGTGGTTCTCTCCCTGGGCTGCCTCTCTCTCCCAGCCCAGACACCTGCTTCACCCTGTCGATAGCCACACCCTCCAGAGCCCTGTCACTCAAATGTGGCCCTCAGACCTGGGCCAGTCTGCGACCCGCTCATTACCTGTCTGGGGCACAACGAGGTCTGAGACTGAGACTCAGAGTTTAGACGCTGTTGCGGCTCTCTGCTGATTTATTTTATTTACTAAAATGTAATTTAATGTCTGTTCAATCTAATACAATAGGGCATGAGGTTTGCATGCCTGTTTTTAACTTTTCTATTCATTTGTGTTGTAGTGTCTAAAAGTGTCAGACCACAGTGGACTGAAACTAGAATCAGACAAGTTAATAAACAAACAAAACCCCCAAACACACCCAGGTTTCCCCACAGGCAGTCTGAGCGCAGCTCTGTGGGTGTGACTGCAAAGCAGGTCCCTTCTAAGCCCTTCCCGCTCTTCCCTCTCAGCCTCCTTTGCAAAGTTTCCCAAGGCCCAGGTTTCCAAGACTCAGAGCTGCCCCAGCCTCTCCAGCCCCGAGTGCTTGAGATCAGGATTTGGCGGAATTCCTCTGGGTCCCTCCTTTACGGCCACTACCTTCTGGGCCTGGATTTCTGTCCAGTAATGATTTAGTGCATTTGATAAGCAAATCTGCTGACAGTTATGGTGAAACTATGGCGGCTTTGAAAAGTGGACTGGGAGGGCTACTGGGGTGCTGTGTGATGACATGATGTTTGAAGGGACCAAGAGAATATAAATCCTACTCCAGATTACAGCCATCCCTCCCACGAGCTTTCTTAAAATGGGTGAGCTTGAGCGCAGAGGCGCAGGAAAGCAAAGTGGCCCTTGCTTTGGACCTGGGCGTGGCCTTGACCTCAGTGCAGGAAGCGGGGTGAGCGGGGGCGTGGTCTCTGGCACACTCGCTTCTCCTTGGCTACTTAAGTTTCAGTACTTCAGGGAACTGCTCTGTGGACTCCCCTTGGTGAAATGATGGTGGTGATGATGGAATGCAGGAAAGTCTGACAAAACCTTCCATCTTAACTTTTAATCAGAACATATTTCGCATATTAATCATACTCCTTGATTACATCGGACTATGTTTCCTACCCACCGCTCCTGAGTTAAGTGCCCCAGGAGTCCTGACTCCTGCCAGGCGAACTGTGGTGACTGCAGTGGGTGGGAGGTGTGGAGGGTGAGCACGGGATCTCGGCGTAGGGGATCACGCAGGAAAACACCTCGAGAAGTGGCCACTGGGGTTTCCCGGTGCTTCCGCACCTGGCTGCCTGCTCGGACAACCGCCTCATCTCAGCCTTTTCTCTCCAGCTGCCCTCTTGTGACATGTCTCCTTCTTCCCTTCTTCAGGGTGGCTCCCATGCTCCTCCACTGAGCGGCAGCGTTCCGGGCAGTGGGGAGTTCCACACGGGGTGGTCCCTGTGATGTCACCGGGCCCAAGGCAGATGACTCACACTGTCTGCTGTACTGGTCCTGAAAGATTTACGCATGTGAAATCCTTCCAGCAGGGACGACCGCCAAAGGGAGCTTTGCAGCCTGACCGCCTTCCCAAGCAACAGGCTTGGGGGAGACACTGGCCCTAAACCCAGGAACTGAGGACTTGGAGGAGCCTAGCGGGGTTTCGGAGAGAAGACTGGGCTCAACGTGTAGGTCAAGGGAAAGATGCCAGGGAAAGAACCCGGTGACACAGACCAGAAGAAAGGTGCAGTAGGAAGGAAAGGAAGGAACGAGATATTGTAGAGGAAAAAAGGAAACAATGAGTGGGGGATGGGCAGCCTTAGACTAAAACGATATAAACAGCCATTTGTACTGGAACATCTCAGATACTGCGAACTGCCCCAAGCCAAACACATTAGCTGTACAACAGAAACAGATCTGTTCGATGGAATGATCCTTTTTATATGGAAAGCAATGCAGTTGTTTAATCAGAATGTCTATCTATAATAAAGTTACAGAAGGCAAAATAGTGGGTATTTCCAAGGGGATGATCAGGTTGTTTAATGAGGGAAACATAGGAAATGCTACGGCCAAGCTGGACTGCAGTAAATCAATCGATTCCGCCTTCCTTAAATTGTCTTTTACAAAGAATTCACATTGA